TTGCCAATGGCAGGAATACCCTCTTCACACTGGCCAAGCAGAGCAAGGCCCTGGGGGCCTATAAGCTGGCCCGGCATGCCTATGACAAGCTACGGGGGCTGCAGATCCCCGCCAGGATCCAGAAGTCCATTGAGCTGGGCACCCTGACCATCCGCTCCAAGCCTTTCCATGACAGCGAGGTGACAGCATGCCTTTGAGCCTGGTCTGGGGTTTGGTTGGAAGATAGCTCTTGTGTTCTCGGGGCTCCCCTGCCTGTGTGCTGTCTTGTCCCCTCCTGCTTAGCTGTCCTCTGCCCTCTGCTCTCCACTCAGCCTGCTGTGCTCCAACCCACCCTCACCTCCAGCCCTGTCACGGCCCCTCTGTGTCCAGAGATTGTCTCTTCCCCCAAGCCTTGCTCAGGGCTGACCCTTTTCCTGGGTGTCCCTGTGCTCTTCCAGGCCCTATCCCAACAAATTTCCTGCAGCTGCAACAACCCAGATCTATATAGCCCTGATTTCAAGCTCAGAGCAGGGACTTGTCATCACTAGGCCAGGGTTCAAATCCTAGGTCCACCGTTTCCTAGCTCTATCAGGTGGGTGTCTATAAACCATCTGCACATAAATGATGTGCCTGACACAGTGCCTCGAGCCTGGTGAGTGGCAGGAAGTGACAGTGGATACAGTTGTTCCTATGAAGACAGTGTCCTGCTGAGGCCTGGCTTGGAGGAGGTGTCTGGGTTAGTGGGGCTCAGGTGTAATCTCAGTTGTACCTGCAGACCTTGGCCAGCTTCCCCACAGCATGTAGTCCTTTCTTTGCCCTGGAGGAAGTGGATGTGTGTACTTCTGGTTCAGCCCGGGCAGATGTGTGCTTCTTTTGTAGGAACTGGTACCCTTGTGCTACCGCTGTTCCACCAACAACCCACTACTGAACAACCTGGGCAACGTGTGCATCAACTGCCGCCAGCCCTTCATCTTCTCTGCCTCTTCCTATGGTGAGCCACTCGTGACACTGCATGATGACAAGCTGGGGTCCATCGTTCAGTCTGGGAGGTTGCAGGAGCTATCCTGGCCCCCTCCTTCAAAGCAGCTGCTGCGGGGAGGGGCTGCTGATGGAGGCCTGGTCCTCCTCATGCATGTACTGTCCACTAACCTGTGGACAGGCTGCTTGGGGAAAGGGGCATGCTCTGGCCATCCCCCAGCCCCTCCCTGTTCCTCCAGAGGTGCTGCACCTGGTGGAATTCTACCTAGAAGAGGGAATCACGGACGAAGAAGCTGTTGCCCTCATCGACCTGGAGGCACCAAGACACAAGAGGGAAAGCAAATGGCAGGAGATTGCAAGCAACAGTATCCTGTGCTCCAGGCCTGGGCCAGGCAGGGCAGGGGTCTCAGTATGGGCTGTGCCAACAGGCAGAGACAGAAGGAAAGAGACCCAGAAAGACTGGGGAGATCTCCACGTAGTGAGGACTGACATCAGAGACGGGCAGAGAGCTGGCCAGAGCCTGTAGGCACAGGGAAAGCGGCACCTGCATGTTCCTGTGAGGTCTCCCTACTCTGTTCCTGAAGGCACTGATCCTGCTTTTCTGCCCATAACTAAGCAGAAGGCATAGTGTGTATATGCTTGACAGAACCCCAGCTTTTGGCTCAGGTAGCTTTTTCATGCAATAGTAGCAGTCACTACTAGCTCCTGGATGTCCATCCCATCCTTGTAGAGGCCTCTCTGTCCCCCTGGTTCTGCTGTCCAAGTTCTTCATCCTTAGGGAGCTACAGAAATGGCTGCCCGTAGTATGGCTGAGACCCCAGCCCAGCTGATCCCCTGTACCTTGGTGCTCCTCAGTGGAACTTAGCCATACCCACCTAATCCTTACATGAGGCCCTCCTGCCTGGGCCTTATACCAGCACCATCACCATTGGGCAGAGGGAAGGCTGGTAGGAGTGGGTTCTCTAAGAGTTTTTGCCCTTCACTCCATGGCTGTGACTGCTGAGTTTCTCGAGCTGCAGCTGGGTCTATGGTCTCCACCTACTCAGGGCCCTTGAATGGCCACTCCCTGTGAGCCCTGGTGGGACTAGAGGGTAGGGGAAGCAGATGATCCCGGGGGCCCCTTCTCCTCTGGTCTGTACCCTCCTCCCCATCTTTCTCCCAGGGGCCTCTCCCAGCCACTGTAATATTCCCCCCAAGTCTGTGAGAGAGGAAAGACCTGGCTGAGCTCCTGGGAGTGAGCATGTGGGCTAGAGGGTGGTGCCTGTGCCTTCCTGAGTCCCCAGCTCCATCCTTGACCAGAACCCTCCAGATTCACAGACGCTGAGGCTGGATGAGACCATGGACTCCATAGGCAATGATGACCCGTTCACAGCCAAGCTGAGCTTTGAGGTGAGCTACCTCAAGAGTGGGAGGGCACTGCGAGGCCTGGGGGAAAGCCATCAGTCCTTTTCCACAGGCACACAGGGACCCTCAGCTAGTGTGGCAGTCAGCTACAACTTCAGACACAGCAGTGGGAAAGAGAACTGGACAGCTTCCTGTGTGACCGGGTGATTCTGAGGCCACTTCAGTGCTGCCATGGGGAGCATGTCACTGTCAGGGCTGCTGGAGTTGAGATGTGGTGGTGTCCCTTTGGTCACCAAGGATCCTGGAATCAAGCCAAGGGCATAACACCCACATACATACTCCTCACAGCAAGGTAGCTCTGAGTTCGTGCCTGTGGTGGTGAACCGGTCAGTGCTGCGTTCCATGAGCCGAAGGGATGTTCTCATCAAGCGCTGGCCCCCGCCGCTGCAATGGCAGTACTTCCGCTCGCTGCTCCCCGATGCCTCCATCACCATGTGCCCCTCCTGCTTTCAGGTACCCAGCCTACCACAGGCAGCCTCTCCTGCTCTTCCATTCTCAGTATCTCCCGTGGGAAGCTGGGCGTGTAGGGGGAGGATTACGAGCTGGTCACAGGCTTCCCCTCACTTGCATCTGCCCAGCTGGCTGCAGTGGGCCTTTCCTGGTTCCCGCTCTGCTGCCCTGAGTGAAGGATGATGTACCTGTGAAGTTCATTCAGAATATAGAGCCCTCCGGTCCTCAGGCCAGCACACTACAGGTCTGCTGTTGTTGGCGGCAACCCACTGCTTAGCCACTTCCCAGGGCAACATGTCCCAGCCCAGGCTCAGGGCTTGAGGGGCACCTGGCCCGGCTTCCCTGTGTCATAGGCTGTCTCTCCTCAGATGTTCCATTCGGAGGACTATGAGCTGCTGGTACTCCAGCACGCCTGCTGCCCCTACTGCCGGAGACGCATCGACGATCCTGGCCCGTGAGCACTGACTGGCCTCTGGGACCACCTGCTCCCCTGGCCTCCTTGCTGTCCCCAGATTGTCGGGGAGAAAGAATTAAACCCTCAGAATATGTCTCCTGCCCAGATGAAGTTTGTATGTGGGGGAGGGGCCTCGCCTTGTGTAACCACAGATTTCCTATTTATGGCATTTCGTGCCTTGTAAATAGCACTGGGAGATGGAGAGGAGAACGTACATATATTTTCTAAGAAAAAGAAATCTGTTACTTTCAGAAGGGCTCAAGTGTTCATGGCAGCCTGCTGGTGTCCACAGATCTGTCAGACCGTTACCGTGCACACTTTGCCAACAGATTGCCTCAATAACGACAAATAAAAGGGCTACTCGTTTTCATCAGTGTCTGCGTTTTAGCAAATCCTCATATTGTCTGCAACTTAATTTCCTTATGCAAAAGTGCACCTGTTTCTAATTTGATCTGAAAGGAACATTGCTTTTGCATGCTCTTAAAACGTAATCTAATCAAACAGCAGCATGGGAAGGGGCAGGGGCATGGGTGTTTTTGTTGTTGTTTATTTATTTTGTTTTAATGAGGATCCATTTTGACAAGAAAGTAAGATACCTGGCTCCAAAGAATAGTCTTGTCCTTGGAGCTGCTCTGTACATCAGTCATGGGGTCCCTTCCACAGGGTACTCAGCCTTGTGGCTCCTCTCTTTCCTTCCAGGGCATGAAGCATGGGCTTCCAGTTGGGATCCATAGACTGTTGTGGGAAGGGTTGCCGGGCAGAATCTGGAAGGAGAACCCACACTGGGCACCTCTGTGCAGCCACAGCCCTGTGCGGGTTATGACTAGAAGAGCAGCAGGTGTTAGGGCCTTGGACTTCCAGTCATGACTGGGCACCTAGAGTGTAATCTCTGAAGTCCTCCCGCCCGCCACCTGTCCAAGGACAGGCAGCAACACCCCCCACGGCACACACAGGGTGTCTTAGTGGGAGCGGGGAGGTTGAGCAAATGGGAACCATGCTGAAGTCCCCTTGTGGTAGCAGGCCCACTGCAGGGACAGAGATGAGAACTGAGTGCGTGACAGAAGTCAGGCATGGTCCAGGCCCTTCCAGCCTGCCTCTGTGGAGATAAGCGGGGAGCCAGGCAAGGTCCAGGCCCTCCCCACCCCCTCTGCCTCTGTGGAGATGATGGAGGGAACGAAGGAGGGAACCAGACAGTTGTGCCAACACAACTCCTCCGTCGAGTGTCTAATTGCTTATGATCATGCATGCTCTCTCTCGCACTAAACATTTATTAATGTGTTAGGATTTCCATTAGCGAGTGCCTTGAACTGAAATCATTTGCATATGGCTGGGAAAAAAGTGGGGCGAGAGAGGAAACAGTGCCAGCTACCCAACAGGCGTCAATCAGTGACAGATCAGATGGTCTAAGGCGTGGGGGGGGGGCTGTCTGAGATGCCGGCATGCATCCTCTCAGCCCATAACAGAAATTCCGGAGAGTCCTCCTGCTGGGAGCCAAGCCCCTGAGGCTGGGCCTGGCCGCAGCTCCAGTTCTTGACAATGCATCGAGTCTGGTCTGAGTGGCCTCTAGGGTGCCCACACACAGACGGTGAAACTGAGGCCAGAGGCTCTCTCTGTGGTGAACAAACGTACCTGCCGAAGCACAGTTGGGCCTGCTCCCATATGCAGCCTTCCACCGAGCCCCACACTCGGCTCTCTTCCCTACCTGCATCTGTACACAGGGCCCTTCTTCAGCTTGAATACGGCGCTTTCAGCTGTAGCCGGCACCTGTGAATGGGGCGCACAGCGGCCCTGACGGAAGCCAGTTAGCAAAGGGGCTGGAGGTGTCAGTTCTGTCAGGAAGAGGATGAGATCAGGGAAGGGTGACTACTGGAGCCCCATAGCGTGGGAAGCCTGTCAGGGCTTGTGTCATGTCCACAGTGAGGAAGGGGAAGATGGCAGCTGAATAACTGAGCCATAACCAGCAGGGTGTCTGTGGCTCTCCATTCCTTACCTCTCCCTCTACATGGCTACTGAAGCTAGGAATCCTCCTTGGTTCTGCCTCACAGGTTTGACATCCCTCTGTTGTGCCTCTTCCCTGGCCTGGGGCGTACACAGCAATGGCAGAGGTGATTGGGGCACTGAGGTCACCACCAGGGAAGGCGCCTACAGAGCCACGCCCCCTCCTGTTGTTGGCTGTTTGTTACTCTTAACTCTTTTGGGGCCTGCCACCCAGCTGCCACCCAAATACATCGCACACACACACGCACGCACGCACGCACGCGCGCGCACACACACACACACAGACATATTCTTATGAATGCCCAACCTTAGCTTGTTTCTAGCCAGCTTTACTTAAATTATCCCATCTACGTTTTGCCTCTGGGCTCTTTCCTTTTCTTGTTTCTGTAATCTTACTTTTACTTTTACTCCATGGCTGGCTGGGTGGCTGGCCCCTGGAGTCGTACTCCTTCTCTCACGCCTAGATCTCTTTTTTCTCCTATTTATTCTCTCTACCTGCCAATCTAGACTATCCTTTCTCCTGCCTTGCTATTGGCCATTCAACTCTTTATTAGACCAATCAGGTGTTTTAGAAAGGCAAAGTAACACAGCTTCACAGAGTTAAATGCAACATAAAAGAATGTAACATATCTTTGTATCATTACACAAATGTTCCACAGCATAAACAGATGCATCACATCGTAAAATAATATTTCACAACACCTGCCCGGGACTGCTCGCCCATCCTTCACCCAGACTGCAAACACCTTCCGTGAGCACAGGAGCAATTGTGTTCCTTCCCTGCTTCTGACCCCCAGTGGCTTCTCAGTGCCAGCCAGCTGGCCCCCAGGCTCGTGGGCCTGCTCCAAGGCTCTGAGGCCACCCTCTGAGGCCACCTGTGCTCCTTTGGGACTTACATTTCTATAGATTCTGTCTGAAAAGCCACTAAAGCCAGAAGCCCCTGTCCCCCCCCCCACCCCCAGGGCTCTGCTATGCCTCTTGACTGACTTCCGGTTTACACAGAAAGACAAGAGCTAAACCGGGCAGGTGGGGCTAGGGCAAATGGCTGCTTCTCCCTGTTAGTTCATCTACTCCCTGAGACGACACAGCGCTCAACACAATAGAGCGTGTAGAAGACATCGGGAGTGTAAGGAAGGAAAGGAGTGAACGCCTGTGTCTTCCCAGGTTCCCTTGATGCCCTCAGCAAGGCCTTGGTGACACAGCCAGGAGAACTAAGCCACAGGTGAGAAGAAAGGGAGGGGCCTGCTGACCCAGCAGCACTTTTCCCTTCTGAGGCTTAAGAGCTATTAGCACTGGTGGCTAATCCTAATCCTAATCAGTGCCCTGCGACTGCCCGACTGCCCGTACTTCTGAGCAGCCAACATGGCTGTAGCTAGCCTCAGAGATAGCTTCCCGGGTCCTGGCAACCAAGCACCTCACAGGTCTTCACAGCCCAGCCCCAATAACCCCCAGTCCTGTGCAGCATTGAGCTTTCCAATACTCGAGAGGGTGAGAACCCAGGCTGCAGGTCAGCCAGACTTCGTACTTCACTTCTGCTGAGGGTTCCTAGCCTACAGGGGTGGTGTCTTAAACACCTACTGCTGTGGGCCAAGAGCTGAATGCACAGAAACAGGCGCAGCTGACCTGCATCCCAGATACGCTAATGAGTTTGGTTCAGTAGGACAGCAAGATGGTCTAGGTCAGTGGTTCTCAACCTTCCAAATTCTGTGACCCTTTAATATAGTTCCTCATATTGTGGTGATTCCCCCAACCGTAAACTTTATTTTGTTGCTACTTCATAAATGTAATTATGCTACTGTTATGAATTGTAATGTAAATGTCTGATATGCGACCCCCAAAGAGTTTGTGAACCACAGGCTGGGAACCACTGGTCTAGGTGGTGACAATGCAGACTGTAGACAAGACACACAATGTGGCGGAGCCCTGGTGTGGAGCGTGATGGTGTTGACTCTCCTCGGGGACCTGAGGGAGGAGCAGAAGGACTGAGGTGACAAGTTCCATCAGCCTGCAGAGGCAGGTGATCAGGAAGGGATGCCTCTGTGCTGGTTCAGGGCCTGGATGGGACACTGAGTGTGTGCACAGGAGCCAGGGCACGTCAGTTGTGCTGGTGGGGACAGCAGGCCAGGCGCAATTTGGATATGGTTGTTGTGCCCAGGGTTCCCAGACCCAGCAAACTCAGGCCCAGAAGGAGGATGTGGGATTTTCCGGGGTATCCTGCTGACTCAGAGACACAGGCTAGCATCTGGTCCTCCTCTTGGGTGACCATGACTCCATCTGAGTCCGTGTGACTCAGTGCAGGTGCTTTCCTTAGTGACTGTTGCTCCGATGAGGCAGAGAGGCACAGCCTCCCCTACGAACTATGTTTTGATGAGGGAAGGAGAATGGCAGTGGAAACCCACAGAACTCTGTAGACTGTGTAGGTATAGCCCTGGCAGTGGCTGGCCAATCATGTGACTTTGGTGACCCACTGTGGACTCCAGGCCTCGGTCTCTGCAAGTGAAGATGCAGAGCCAATCAGAACTAAGGACTTCCAAGGACTTACTCTGACCTTGTCTCACCCACACTGTACTGACTGTGGTGTCCCCTCATCTCGGTGACAGCTTTCGACCTGTGAAGCAGTGTCTGTTACCCCAGTTTAGAGCAGACAGTGCTTCCAGAGGAGGCCTTGTCTGCCTACTCACTCATTGGGTCAGCAGGTGTTTACTAAGCTCCTACTGTGTGCCTACTCACTCATTGGGTCAGCAGGTGTTTACTAAGCTCCTACTGTGTGCCTACTCACTCATTGGGTCAGCAGGTGTTTACTAAGCTCCTACTGTGTGCCTACTCACTCATTGGGTCAGCAGGTGTTTACTAAGCTCCTACTGTGTGCCTACTCCACCCTGTAGGTTCACACTAGAACCCAGGCGATGGGCGAAGCCAACTGATCCCAACACCAGCTGGCTGCCAAGGCTGCTGAGGTGCAGCTGAGCTGGGTGGGGGCCGGGGTAGATCATGGGGTGACCACCAGGGTCACGTCTCCACCTTGACCTCATTAATGTTGGTCTTAATCACCAAACCACACTCCTTAAACTGCTAGATGCCAGCTCCCACCCCCTGACACACATACCAGTCCTGTGCTCTTTTTCTCACTCAGGGAACGTGCAGGGAAGGGATCGATTTTCTGAGCAGACACACCTAGGAATCCCAGGTGGGAAGAGACTGAGCAAGAGAGGGCTTAAGGGCGAACACTTCCCTGACCAGGCTCCTACCTGGCTTCAGGGTCTGGGGAGCTGTGTGGCAAGTGGCATGGTGTTTTCTCCCATCATCCACTCTTAACTCAACCCCACCTTCTCAGAGAGGCCTTCATAAGCTTCTGCTAGAGCAACCTCTCCTCCTGTTCTTTGACTAGCCCGTGAAACTGCTCCTCACCGCCATCCCCCTCACGGGGTGCTGGCTTCTTGCAACCAGTGCTTCCTTGTCTCCTGTGAGCCCCCAGAAACAAATCGCTTGCCTGTCACTTAGTGGGTGCTCCAGGCATATGTCAGCTAGACAGTGGTCCTAGAGCAACCTACACATGGGGGCTTCCGGGGACCTTAGCTACATGGCAGATACGCTGGCCCCATATCCTCAGACATCAGGCTAGTCCAGGACCAGCTTCTCCCTCAGACTGGCATCTCTACCAGGCCAGTGCCAGCATCTCTCAGCCTACACAGAGTTCTGATACCCTGAAGGCCCAGGTGTCTGGTTATCCTCTGTACCCCTGAGATTAACGCAGCTGTATGTCTGTTGCCTTCTAGATAAGGCAAAACTTCTTAGGCCCTCACCATGGCCTCCAGGCCCCACGCAAGCACCTGAATATCCTGGCAGCCTGTTTCTTTATTCGGAGGCCCATGTTCTGCCCCACCCGAGCAGGCCACCCTCTTCTCTGTAGTTCATGGTCATCCCTCCCTGGACTGGAATGTGTTTCTTCCTCTGGCTGAGTCTTGCTCAGGCCAGAAGTGCTCTAAGCAGGGCCACGGCCTCCTTTGTCTCCCAGGTGGCCGGCTCATAAATGTTTAATGAACAAGTGAGTGAGCAAATTCCAATTGAATGCAACAAATAGTTATCGAGCTGCTGGGCCCGAGTGGGGGGGGGTGGGGCGGGTGGAAATGGACTGAGCTCACTGTGCTCAGATCTGTCCAAAGGAGCTCGTGTCAGGGCCAGGGGACTGGGAAGGGCCACGGTAGGAGACTTCAGGGAGAGGCATTGTCAGTTGGAGCATTGTGGAGAAATGAACTTAGGGTCCTGAAGCAGCCTGAAGCCACTGGAGTGACATGGGTAGAAAATTCCTGGGGGACTCTGGGGAAGACAAGATGAGACACCCTTCCTTTACTCAAGGGCCTCCACCCGGTGTCACCTTGGCCCCTCTGCAAGCCAATTAGGCCCCAGTGGCAGCAGTGGGATTAGTATTCTTAGGATGATATCTCCCAGATGCTGAATCAGCCTCTGGCTTAGGGAGAGAAGGTCACTTTATAAGGGTCTTGGGGGGGCTGATGCCTGGAGTTGCGCTGTGGGAGCTGTAGGTGGCTGAGCTCACCAGGCAGCCTCGGTCTCTACTGACGAACAGCCCCTGGGGCAGCCTCGAGGGCCGCAGCCATGAATGGCACAGAGGGCCCCGATTTTTATGTGCCCTTCTCCAACGCCACAGGCGTGGTGCGCAGCCCCTTTGAGTATCCGCAGTACTACCTGGCTGAACCATGGCAGTTCTCCATGCTGGCAGCTTACATGTTCCTGCTCATCGTGCTGGGCTTCCCCATCAACTTCCTCACGCTCTACGTCACCGTACAGCACAAGAAGCTGCGCACACCACTCAACTACATCCTGCTCAACTTGGCCGTGGCTGACCTCTTCATGGTCTTTGGAGGATTCACCACCACACTCTACACCTCACTGCATGGCTACTTCGTCTTCGGGCCCACAGGATGCAACATCGAGGGCTTCTTCGCCACACTGGGCGGTATGAGCAGAGGGACTGGGGTGTAGTATGGGGGCCAAGGGGGCATGAAAGGGCCTAAGGAGGGTCTGCAGCTTGGGAGCAGCAGCTTAATGGGTCTGTCTCCACTCCTCTTCAATCGGTACCATCCGAAGGCCTTGCTTATTCACTGACAACACTGATGCTGAACTAGGCTGTTGTTTAGAGCAAGCGTTGAGCACCCATCTCTCTCATGAGTAATGCAAGAGTCATGGCTTCAGAGAGGTCAGGGGCTCTCTGGGGAGTCATGGTGTGTGAGGAAACCCTCTGAGGCAGCTGAGCTGGGGCAGACTCAAGATGAGCTAGAAAAGGCACACAGGTCCAGGGTCGGTGTACTAGGCATCTATCTGACTGCCTTCCTAGCCCTGTTGGCCTCCAACATGAGTGCGTGCTCCACACACTGGGAATCTGGAGGAGTCATTTGTTTCTTTTCTTTTTCTTTCTATCTTTGGGGGAAGACAGTCTCACATAGTGCAGACTGGCCTTAAACTATGTGGCTGAGGATGCACTTGAACTTCTGATCCTCCTGCCTCAGCTTGTCAAGTGCTGGGATCACAGGTGTGAACCACCTTGCCACACCAGGGATTTCCAAACATTTTCTGTCATTTGTGTGGAAGGTCAGTAAGGCTACGGCAGGAACAATGGAGTCTGTTTAGCTGAGGCAGGCAAAAGACTCATGTAGAGATGTGGCAGGGCCGGAACCAGATTTAGGGCCCCCTGGTTGGGACCCAGCGATGTAGTCAGTGGATATAAGAGGACACAGGCAGAGTGGGTATGACAAAGCCCAAGGCCAGAGCAATGGGTCTAGCTTGCATGAGTCCCAAGGATGTAGCCTTATCTCCCCCATGTCCAGGGTGCTACCTTGGTGACATCTCTGTTACCTTCTGTGATCACAGTCCCCCAGTCTCTGGACAGAAGCTAGGGTGCCATGCTAATGGATATGTCTCTGCAGGGTCAGGCACAGGTCACACCTGTCATCCATAAACTTTTGCTGGTAGCACTCTCATTACTCAGCAATGTCTCAGGCTGGTTTATTTTGTGGCCCTTCTCCATACTGAGTTTCCTTCCATGGGTGACATGTGGACTGAGGTCTGGAGGTCCCTCCTTGGCCCACTCTTCCTCCCGTGTCAAAGCACTAGCCATTGTGCAGCCGAAGCCATAGCTTCAGTCATCCCAAGGCTGTGTCTCTCCTGACCAAAAGCTCTAACGGAACAGAGAGGTTCTTGGTTCTTTGGAGTCCTTTGCTCTCCGCTGGCACATGCATTCTTCATTCTCCCCTCCTCCTGGCCAGTTCAAACTCGCTGCATTCCTAAGGCAGAGACTCCCATGCTGCCCTGTCCTCTCTGGGGTCATTTGTTCTCTCTGGTCTGAGGTCAGAGCCGGGGGACTGATAGCTACCAACTACCTTGCAGGTGAAATCGCCCTGTGGTCCCTGGTGGTTCTGGCTATTGAGCGATACGTAGTGGTCTGCAAGCCCATGAGCAACTTCCGTTTTGGGGAGAACCATGCCATTATGGGTGTGGCCTTCACCTGGGTCATGGCGTTGGCCTGTGCTGCTCCCCCGCTCGTCGGCTGGTCCAGGTAATGGCACTGACATCGGGTCTGGCAAGGCTTTTGTGGGGTTCCCATTCAGAACACAGAGCCTGTGGGCCGGTTCCAGGCATTCTATAACATAGTCTTGCCCCCTAAAACCATCCTGGTGACTTTCTCAGGCCAAAGTCTAAGGCGGGGGAGAAGGGAGGGCCAGTGATGGTGCAATGAGTGTGATTCCATCACTGAGCCCCATGGCAAGGGGAGCCCTGGACACCCCAACCCTTCACCTTGGCCAAGCCCCTAATCCTCAGCTAAGCCAAGGCCAAACTACAATCCTCTTTGGTTGCGTTTTCCTGGGTATGGGGCAGCTCTCTCTGACCTTGGACCTCAGCTCTATGGGGAAGCTGAACCTTCCCAACATGTATGGTGTCATTGTAGTCCCAGGAATTGGGTCCTATCTAGCCTCCAGACTACTATCTCCAACTGTAGGCAAGACAAGAGAGGGTTAGGGACAGTGGTTTGTTACCCAGAAGCATCAGAAGCTTCCTTCTCACGTCTCTTCCCCACCCTCTGGGAGCTCACCTAGTGGCCCTTGCTGAGTCAGAACCCTGGACTTAACAGGCCTCCTCAGATACACTCAGTGGACACTCTGGGGTTTCTGAGTGCAGCCTAGTGTCACCATCCTCAGACATCATCATAACATCCTTGTTTCTAAAAGCTGCACCAAGCCCATCCTTAGTGTAGAATGCATTACTGTTGCTAGGAAACCCACATCTCCAAACTACTGCATTTACAGGGCAGTCCTCAGCCCTCCTCCCCAGCACCCTCTGCCAACTCACTTAAACCACCAAAGGGCAGCAGGCTGGTGGAAAAGAGCTGTGTGGTCAAGTGGGAGGAAATTTGAGATTGCCCGAAGGGCAGAGACTGCTAAGTCTCACCTGGCGATGGGGCCAGCAGGTAACGACACCATCCTTCCCAAGACCAACAGGAGCTCCAGCCTCAACAGCCCCCACACTTATGCCCAGCTGAGCATCTGTTCCCCTCCAACCGTATTGTCCCTTGCACTGACCCTCAGGTACATCCCCGAGGGCATGCAGTGCTCGTGTGGGGTTGACTACTATACACTCAAGCCTGAGGTCAACAACGAGTCCTTCGTCATCTACATGTTCGTGGTCCACTTCACCATCCCTTTGATTGTCATCTTCTTCTGCTATGGGCAGCTGGTTTTCACAGTCAAGGAGGTATGAGTGGGGGGGTCTCTAATGTGTGTTCCAGGCCCATGCTGGGTGTTCAGAGCTGGGTGCCAGGGCTGGACCCCATGGGCTGGACACAGGTCTGTACCCCTGTAGGCGGCTGCCCAGCAGCAGGAGTCAGCCACCACACAGAAGGCAGAAAAAGAAGTCACCCGCATGGTCATCCTCATGGTCGTCTTCTTCCTGATCTGCTGGGTTCCCTATGCTAGCGTGGCCTTCTACATCTTCACCCACCAAGGCTCCAACTTTGGCCCCATCTTCATGACCCTACCAGCTTTCTTTGCCAAGAGCTCTTCCATCTATAACCCTGTCATCTACATCATGATGAATAAACAGGTGCCTGGGATGAGGTCAGGCCGGGGGTGGGGGAGTGAGGGAAAGAAGGGGGGAGGGTGGATTCCATCCAGACTGCTGGCAGGCCATGAGCTCTCCGGTTGAACCTCCCAGTCTCTGGGTAGCCTGGGAGTAAGCTCTCCAGGTGACCAGGTGACCTGACACCTGCTCCTGTGAAATACATCTGACCGATTGTTCTGGAAGACTGCTTTATAAGTCAGCTAGAAGCCAGGCACACGTGTGCAGTGGCACATATGTGATCTAAACACTGAGGCAGGCAGATCTTGAGCTCCAGATCAGCCTGGGCTACATGGTGATGTGCACCCCCCCTCCAAAGCAGGTATGGTTGTGCACCTCTATACCAGCATTCAGGAGGCTGAAGCAGGCAGGTCAGAAGTTCAAAGTTATCTTAAACCATACGGTGATCTGGTGGCCAACCTGGGCTACATGAGAGTCTGTATAGAAAAACAACCAGAAAATGTCGAGTAGTTCCCAAGGCCAGGAATGGAACGGTCTCACTATTTGTAAAGCTGCTGTTAAAAGCCATGGTATCTCTGCAGAAAAGGTGTGGTCTCTGAATTAGACTCTGGGTTCATACCCTGGCTCTGCCATGTCCAGGCTGTGTGACCTTGACAGAGCCAGATGTCTCCCTCTCTGGGCTTTGGTTTTCCTACTTACAGGAAGGGTCAAATCCTAAATTCAAATTACAAGAGATCTTTCACAGAAGGTCCTAAGCATTCACAGGGCACCTTGGAATATCATTTGCTGAAAGCCCTTGTGCTGGGTTCCTGGCATCTCTGATGGTGGGGCAACATACACTTAGCAGACTCCCCAAGGGAGCCAGACTTAGTGAGGGGACTTGCTGTGGGTGGTGGGGCTGAGGCTGGGCAGGGTGGTGGGGCCTGGGACTAACTGGAGCCTCTGCCTTCCAGTTCCGGAACTGTATGCTCACAACCCTCTGCTGTGGCAAGAATCCATTGGGTGACGACGAGGCCTCTGCCACTGCTTCCAAGACGGAGACCAGCCAGGTGGCCCCAGCCTAAGCCTGGCCAGAGACTGTGGCTGACTATAGGAGTCTCCTGTCCCCACCCATCCCAGCCACAGTCCCCACCAGGAGCAGCACCCGTTGGAATGAGGTCATGCAGACTTCCTCAGTGTTCTTTTCTTTGTTTTTAATTAATCCAAGAAAGAAAAATGATGTTCCCCACTCAACAGGGACAGCCTAAGAAAGGACATCCATCCACCAAGATCCCTGACCTGGAGTCCCCAATTCCCAGGGGCCAGCGGGATCTGTACCCCTTCCCCACAAGCTTGTCTCTCAACATGACAAGTGTCCCAGCTTAGGGCTAAGTGTCTAGGACAGAATGGAGCAAGCAATAGCTGATTAATAAAATGCTAGCTGGACGAAGGGAGGAATGAATGACTGAATGAATGGATATGTGGATGAGGGGATTGATAGAGGGGAACATGTATATCCTCAGGTGCCCAACATGGCACATCAGTCATGTTTGGCTGGAATCTATAAGCAATTGTTTTTACATCCCTGCCCTGGTTGTCTCCCCCAACCCCAGATGGAAATTCTGAATCCCAGGTCCTGACAGCATGTGACTGCTTCAAAGACAGAGAGATGGGGGAAGGAGAGAGAGAGAGAGAGAGAGAGAGAGAGAGAGAGAGAGAGAGAATGTTTGTGTATGTGTGTGTGTGTGCAAATACTTTGTATATAAACAGCACAGCTGGTAGTTATGTTACAAATAATATCAATTAATAGAATTAATTAACCATCCTGATTGTCTCTGCTTGTTAGTGACTGCTTGGGAACTGTCTGGGCCCAAGCACTCAGACAGGGTGTTTCTCTCACTCCCAGTAGACTTTACCAATGACCTAGGCCTTTAGTCCTGTGCAGGGCTGGAGCTGGATCACAGGGACGACAGTGACAGCAATGTGGGGTGCAGCCATTAGGACTGAGAAAGCATTGTGACCAGGGGTCTCAGGCAAGGCCCTACCTCCAGTGTGACATCCTTGGTTCATGTCTTCTAATCCTACTTGGCCTGAGACCCAACCCTCCTTCTGGAATTCTGGACACATTTTCTCTTCCACACCAGCAACCAGGTAGCAACGGTTCAAAGCCAGTGTGGAGTTCTAGAAGCCATGCTAATCTGCCTACCCTCAGGGAGTGGCTGAGTCCCTGATTACACCCTTGTTCTGAAGATCTCAGAAACACAGTGTGAGATATGACCAGGCCTTACCCCCTAGGATGCTCATGGATCCAGCTCCCAGCTCCCTTGCTGGATATACTGTTTCCTTAGCATTTGGTTTTTATTCTTCCCAGAGAGTTTTGGGTTTGAAGTCAACAGGAATGCTGGGCAACTAGAATTGAGCAGCTTCAGTCTGCATCCCTCCTCCACAGAACCACAGTTGGGGCCCCCAGCAGGCCCAGTTCTGGCTGGGGAGGGAGGCAAATGGGGGCATTAAAAGCTCAGCTCCTACACTTGCTGGCAGTGGTGGTCTGTTGCTCTCAAGCTCTTTACTTACAAAAGGAATGGAAACTGGGAATCTTATGTGACCCCTGTCCATGGAGAGTTAGACTGTGTGGGGACAGCAGTCCAGGTCCTTGAGGAATGTGGTGTAGCAGCCCCATCAATCTGAGAAACCCAGCTTGGGCAGAATAGAGACAGAGTGGCCTCTTTTAAGCCTCTGTATCTGCAAAGAAGAGCTTAGAACTGTCCTTGAAGGGGATTAGATGAGAGCTTAGGGACTTATGTGGCCAGCCCACTTCCTGGCTTGCTGAAAACATTGGCACATTCTGGAATTCTAGGCGTTGTCTCAGACCTGCCCTTACCAGGACACCCCCACCTAACAAGGGGATGGGCAGTGCCTCAGATGTTGAGCAGTATCATCCTCCAAGGAGGAAAGGTTGCCAGGGTCTGGGATGGAAGCCCCTCAGTGCTGTGGTGGGCAAGGGCAGGGGTTATCTGCTATGCTGTCTCAATAGGTGATGCCAATGAGGGTTCATTTGGTCACAAGTGACAACTGCTGAAACAGAATTGATCTCATTGGCTTATAGACATGAAACCTCCCCCTCCACTTTAGGCCAGCTGGGTATAGAAGTTCAGACTTGTGACCCTTTATATCTGTCTTTTGTGTTGACTTTACTCACAGGCCTATCCCTAGAGATGGCAGAATTGTCTGCATCAGTCCCAGGGCCATTAATCCCTCCAGAAAGAGGATTTTCTGCCCCTTATTATAACCATGGTTTCAGATCAGGTTCTTATGATCTAGGTCATCTGATTATCCCTAACCCAATCAGCATGTCTAAAATAGAGATTCTTCGGCCAGGTTTGAGTCACCTGATTTCCTCCAAGCCAGTCACCATGCCTGATATGGAGATTCATCTTCTGATTAGTCAGACCTGGGTCACCTGATCACCTCTAAGCCAATCACTATGCCTGATTTGGGATCCCACAATTGTCATGTGTTTCTATACCACAAGATAAAGTTGACGTCATATAGTTAAGAAGTCTGTAGGATGTGTTCCCCAAAAGAAACCAGGGGAACAGGATCAGACAAGCACAGAGGGGTGGGGGCGGGGATGTGCTAGACACAGCTCCTGTGTGTGGTGGATCAGGGTATTCCCATGGCCACCACAACTCTGGTTGTTTCCCAGGCTTTATGGGCCAGAGTTAGATGTTGGTGGGATACTTTAGTTGCCTGGTCTTGTCCTACCTCACTCTTCCATGCCCAGTTCATTTGTTCTGTGGAGTGTCACCTTTGCCCCTGCCTTCTGCAGAGCGGGAAAAATACCCCTTTAGAACCAGAATACTCTTGTTGTCATGGCGAAAAGCAGCCTCAGCCTCCCCTTGTTACTTGTCATGGTGTGTATAGGCTAAGGGCTGGGCTGAGCAGGGATCTGGAGTTCCCAAAGGGACACTTGCAAGGCTCTAGCCAGACAGGGCCATCACCCCAGGTAAGAGACACCACTTGAGATAGCCTGGGGTGCCCCAAAGAAGCACAGTGCCAGTCCCAGGGCAAGTCCCTGGACTACCTAGGCCGTGACTCTGAGCTGAGTGTGAGATTCATCTCAGCTGGTGAAGGGTTAGAGAGCCTCTGTACCTGTGTCCATCCTTGGTCCCTTTGCCTGCAAGAATATTGAGGGTGACCCCAGATATATAGGGATTCAGGAGCACATATGGATAATCATACAGACACTTACTGTAAAGTAAGTCTTTGGTATATATGCAATTTTACAATTGATTAAAGATTAAAATAAATTTGCATACTAATGAGACGGATGTGCCTACTTTTTCACAAGGAATTAGATCTTGGCTGAATATTTAGTGATGCAGGACACAGCATCTACAGTGTTCTTTGGGGCTGATTGAGATTTTGGTTTTATAATCATCGGTGCTGAGAATGCCTCTTCGCATAAATACATAGTATAACACGACAGAAGTATGTCTAGGCCATTTCAAGAATTGTTGGAAATAATTTCTTTATCCCAATCCAAAATGTACTGAACAGCATGTGTAGTGTGTGTGTGTGTGTGTGTGTGTGCACACGCGCGCGAGCACATGCACATGTTCACACTTATGCCTGTGTGTACATATAGAGGTGCTCTCACCTGGGTGATTGAATGTGGAGAGCTGGAGTTACAGATGGGGGTCATCCCAGCTTTTACATCGGTCCTGGGGCTCCAAACTCAGGTCCTCAACCTTGCACAGCAGGTGTGTTGCTGATTAATGCGTCATTCCAGCTCCCAAGTGAATGATTTGTGTCTGAAACTCAAGTCAACGATTCAAACACAATTTCTTAAGATCAAACATTCTAACACAATGCAAACCAAAAATATACTCACATACCGAACAAAGGATGGCAGTGGGAAAATATTAAAAAGTCTTTGTTTTCTGCAATTCAACTATTAGGTTCCAATAACACAGAATACTTTGTGTGTAGAGCAAAAACAAGCAAACAAAGCCCTGTGGCTCGTGGCATTGAATAGTCTGGAATCTGAGCTACATTCCATGCTGGGAAGGCGTGTGCAGTACAATGTGCACAAGTATGTTCAGAACCAAGGTGTGAAGTCACGTGGTGCACTACTGGTGAGCCCTGCCTGAAACACCTCAGATTCATCGATTTTGAGTTAGTACAAAAAATGTTACTACATTTTGTTTATTGTACCTGTCAGGGGAGGGGGAACAGCTGCATGCCACAGTGTGAGTGTGGGTGTGAGAGGGCAGCTTTTGGAAGTCAGTTTTCTTCTGTCACACAGGTCCCAGGAATGTCACTCAGCCCTTGCCAGCTGAGCCATCTCACCTGACCTTGAACTGCTTTTTGATCATTGTGTGTTCAGAAACTGTAACTGTTCTCAAAGTTCTGTCACTCGCACATTCAAGGGCAGGAAGCTGTGTGGACGTGAGACTCACAGCCTAAGAACTGGGGGTCAGAAGGATCAAGGAGACACTGATATGAGTGACACTTCATACAGCAGTTGTTCGATGCACACAGCTTCCCTGCCAGGGGTGAGGCCGGGGTTCAGAGGAAGCAGCCTTGGTGGAAGGTCATGTGCTTGGTGAGGTCCCAGGAAAGGAGTCTAGGTGTCCCGGCCAGCTTCGTTTTTCCTTTCTTTTGTTGGTGAGCTCCTCTTAAGTTCTAGCAGGGCCCTGACAGCGTGTCGTCCCTCCCTCTCATCTGCCACAGCTCAGATGCTGACTCTGAGTTGTGCCTTGCAGAGAATGGAAGCACGCTCTGCTTTCCTGCTTTCCCTTTTGCTGGCTGGAATGTGGTCGTCACAGTGACCCTACCTGCCGCAGTCACGCTGGATCACGAAAAGGACCCTGCATACAAACAACTGCAGATGGCAAAGACAGGATCTGGGCGCCCCCGGAGCTGCCTCACCAGCTGGATCCTCGACAGCCAGGGTGACTTAAAGAGCTTCTGAAGGGATGGCTTCAAGACGGAATGGCTATTTTAGAATTGCCACACCTATCTTAAATATTGAAGAGGGCTTTCAGGTTGCAGCCTAGGGTCTGAGCTTGGGAAGATCCAAGAGCTTCCCCACTCTGAACTTCAGCCTCTTTGTCTGTAAGTAAAAGGATGAAGATGTCAGTGTATGCAGACACCAGGCACGGCAGTGGCTGCAGCCTCACTCTAACCTGATGCACAGATTGACCAAAGTTAGGAAACAAATGCCCCAGTGTCCTGATGGCACAGGAGTGGGCACCGTACAAAGCAGAGGCACTCTGATCATCTCAGAATTCAGGACATTTATCCCTGAAACTGGAGCAACCCCAGAGTGGGAGGAGAAGGTTCCAGAAGGAAGGCAGCAGCTTACCCCCGGCCCCACAGAGAAGTCAGTAGGTTGGCAGAGGACACTGCTGTCAGCAGTCTCCCTAACTTGCTATCATCTCCCTGTCAAGTGGCAATCCCCTTGGAGAATTTTTAGATCTCTGAGTTTTCCCCAAACTTCCTTCTCAACACAAAACTGGCTCCTGGCACAGCCTGGGAGCAGGGTTTCAGCATAGCTCGTGGGAATGTTTACACCACAGCGTCTCTGTATTTCTCAGCTCTTGGAAATGCCCCACAAATGGATCACAATTGCAGCCCCCATTTGTGCCAGCTCCGTTTGCCTCTTTGCCTCCCTGGAGCCCTTTCCCTGTCGAGCATTGGGCCAGCGGCAATTTACAGGTCTCGGTTCACTCACAAAACCACAGCACCAAGTCTGGAAGGCCTACTGTGTGCCACCGTTGGCCTGGGTGCCAGAGACGGCCCTCCTCCACCTTAGAGCTCAACAGTCAGGGGTCTGTACATCACAGCTGTGACTCAGAGCGCTGGAGGCTTCAGAATTGGTGACTGATCTTCTAGGGGTTGGAGTTAGCATTCCTGAGCAAGTCTTACTTACATGTGCGAGCAAGACATATTCCAACCTTGTGCTGTGTGACAAACAGCCTCAAATCCACAGCTTAAAAGCAGGAATCACACACCTTTTCTGCTAGCTCCAGGGACTAACTGGGTGATTCTGCTGATGGGAATCCAGCGTGGACCATGTCTTCTGGGATCCTTCAAGCACCCATGGTCAAGTGAGGAATTGGCTAAAACTGGCTGGTGGCTGGGTGACAAGTGACTGGATCATGGGTCTCAGCATCCAACAGACTAGCCAGGGTTTGCTCCCATGGCAATGGGATCAGGACAGCACCATTCCCACAGTATCTCACCAGCACAAGGTTAGCACTGATGTAGGGTTTACTTCTACAAAGCCTTATTATGTGTGAGGATAGATAAGGGCAGAGACAGAAACTCTGTACATGACATAGAAGAAGTACAAAGTGTGATATCCTCCGATTAGCTGTAGCCCACTCAAAGGCCACACAGTGAGAATTTTAAAAAGTTTGTTACTGAAAGTTGAACCCAGAATCTCAGGGATGCTAAGCCCCGACTCAACCACTAAGCCATAACCCCAGCCCTATCTGCAGTGTGGCTGAATTATGGAATTCCAGGGAGAGGAGGGAACCATGAAACTGACAGAACTCAAATTTGCCCCCAAAGGAAGTAGGGCTCTATGGAAGGTTCTAGAAACGGAGTGAGATCTGTTTTCGCTGCAAAGAACTTTGAGGGCCACAGCCGCTCTCAAACCCATCTTGTGATGATGGTGAGCTCTCTCTGGGAAAATCCCAGAAAATAAAGAGATCACAGAGGGAGAAGCGTTAAGCCCACTTTAACCCACCCTCTAGCCTCCCCTCCCCCTGGGGTAGTTGCTGATGCCACACTGGCATGAGTCCTGGGATGACTTCAGGGTACTTCGGGATCACCCCCTCGCTTTCACAGCTGTGGACCATCCTGTTGCCAGCAGGCCTCAATTGGCTTAGCCTGTTTCTACCTGAAAAGATCTTAGTTTGCCTTGAATTTCTGCTGATGCTGGGACAAAGTTCCTGTTTGTATGTTCTTCTGCTTCTCCACAGGGAGGGGTAGGTGCTCCATGGGGCAAGTTCATCTTTGCCCCATGAGATGCTGAGTTGCATCTAAGATGGCCTGCCCATCAGCCTCTCCCAGCGCCAGTGTAGTTTCCAGTCGTCCTTGACAGTCACTGTGAGAAATGCTTGTCTCACATTTCATATGAGAAACATTGATATTCAGCCAGGAGAGAGAGCTTCTTTCAATCCACTCTGTTTTATTTCTGTTTGGTTTGACTCTTTGAGTCAGGGATTCTGCTAGGGAATTTGCCTCCAACTCCTGTCTTTATAAGACCTTGTCATGTATGTTGTAGCGTGCTTTACAACAAGGGAACAGGTTCCTCAGGCCTGTGTGATTCACCAAAAAGTTATTTCTCTTTTTCTTTCTTCTAGGTGACACAGCCCTTCCTAGGAGAGAGTTGATGTGGCTTAGGGGGACCTTCCCAAGTCACAGCCCTAGCAGGGCAGCCGGCTGGCTTTACCATCCTGGCCGGTGTTCCAGTATTTGGTAGTGCGATGGAAAAAGTGACTTATGCCTGTCCCAGTGTGTCTTTGAATGCCAAGGACACCAAGGCCATATGAGATCCTGTGGCAACCTCCCCCTGCATCTCAAACTGTAAAATAATCTAAAACATCAGAATGACACAGAAAGAGGCAACTGAGAGCCTTCCTGTTAGGGAAAGGTACTGCCTCCAAGAGATACCCTTCCCTGGACCCAATTGCTACTTTGTGGAAAAAAATCTGAGGCCAGCAGTTGTTTGGGAAGAGGGCAGACAGTCCCATACCCACTTGATGGAATTAGGGGGCCCTCGTGACAACTCAGGTGCCCCCCATTCACTGCAGCACCACCAGCTAGTAGGATACAGGGACTCTGTCTCCTTATTTTTGCTTGGCCTCAGGTCCTGCAGGGCTGAGGAAGGTGCTCCATTAGGAGAGTGAGCCTTCATCTGTAGGCCAGATTGGCTTCCACTGCTCAGGTGGTGAGCCTGATGGCCTTTGGCTCGCTGGCAGAGAGAGGCATTTAAGGCGAGAAGTTTGGCAGCTGCTACATGATCGAGCTCCGGGCCTGCCGCTGCCTGTGCCATGGCTCCAGGAAGTGTTTCCAGTGTTTCTTCCTCTTCCTCCTCTTCTCCCTCCAGGGACATGTCACCTTCTGGAGCCTCTGAGCTCCCTGGGGCTGACAAACAAGGTAAGCAGGGGAGTGGCAGTCTGTGGAGTTTAAACCAAGGTCCTAGAAGCCCAGTGATACAACCATAGAGGCTAGTTCTCACCACACAGATGGGGGACCCAGTCAGGGAAGGGGGTGGTCCTGGGGGCACAGCTGAATGACCCCACTCCTGGT